GCTGCAGCGAGAGGAGCGGCCGTCGAGAGAGGCGTTCGGCGTCGCGAGCTCGGCCTTTTGCTGCTGCCGCGCCGCGGAGCGGGTGAGCAGCGCCGAACATGCCGTCATTCCGGCCACGACAAGTCTTCGCCTGCACCTTGCCCTGGTCGCCGATTCGTTCACCGGTGATTGAAAAAAGAAACCGGGACCGCGACCGATGCGAGTCGACTGGTGTGTGTCGTCGTGGTTTCGTATCAAGAATACTCACTCACACGGAAAGCGGTGCAGCGTGGTGCACAAATAACTCCCTTTGTTCTCTTCTCATAAAATCGCGGAGGGTCTTCGTGAACTGAAGCGACCCAACGATTTTATACAGCTGCCGCCACGCCTGTTCTGCCGGGATCCATGGTCACTCCTGTTCAATGGCTTCGCACGCCTCGAACACGAAGGGGAGTCCTGTCGCAGCAAGTGCGAGGGGATGCCGGCCTGCCGCTATTACTCGAGGTGGTCGACCGGCTGGTGCCGGCTGACTGCTAGCTGCGACATACCTTTCGAGGACAGGGTTAACCCGGCCGACCAGACCATCAACTTGGTGGCATGTGCAGTGTTTCAGCAGCCGCCCCTGCCACCGCTATCGCCACCACCTCAACCGCGATCAACGGGTATCAGAGCTCGAGACCTCGTGACAATCCCACCGCCGATGCAACCATCGCCGCAACCGCCACCCCCAAGAAACCACGCCTCCGTGGCTCGGGTTACACCAATCCTCGCTACCCACGCGGCCAAAGCGCAAAGGAAGAAAGGATATGCCCTGGAGAATTTTACAACAAAACTCCCTCGCACAACACTGGGCACGGGACTGGCGCGCACTGGCACTAACACAGGTACACCACTGGAGCCGCCTAAGCGACTCCCGCGAGGACGGCGAGGCACTTAGCTCCGTGCACTCGACCGCCCTCGCCGCTGGCAAGCTCATTCACAATCTGCTCTGCGATGGCCGTGTGAAGAACGACTGAGATGCGCTGCTTCTGCAGCCCCAGCCAGCTCTTGGTGGTCCAAGTCACCTCATCGAGGTACTGGGCCCGCGTCAGCTTGTTCTGCATGCAGCACGTTCGCCGCCTTCCAGAGGATCTCGCCGACCCCCTTCCCAAACCCACCGAACGACTCGAACAGCAGCAGCTGCACGTCGACGTCCTTGTCCTCCCTGGCGTAGCGATACTCGCCGCCATAGGACGGTACCGTATGCGGCGATCGCCACCCACTACCCTGACCCCCCTGGAAAACCTCCAGAGCAGCCGCACACCACACACAATTCCAATTTTGATCCATGGAGTCGCCTTCTGCCCGCTCCGTCGCCTTCTCGGCCGCCGCCGCCACGGCCGCCGTAGCAATCGGCGCCGGCCCCGTCGCCGCTGCTGTCGCCGCCGCTGTCGCCGCCGCCGCAGCAGCCGCTCCGGCACGCCGTCGAGTCGTGCTCTCCTCTGCGCTCACGGTGGAGGCGCCAGAAGTGCCGTGGGCGCAACAGCGGCCAGCCGAGGCGAGAGGCGAGAGAGAGCACTGCGTCCTGTCGGTTCGGGCGGCGAGCGACTCTGTTGCCGCCGGTGTCCGTAGCGTCCCGACAGGGGCTTCGACCCTCCGGTCGTCCTTGCTTCGAGAAAAGATTGCCGCCACCGTGGGCAACGTTCGCCTTCGGTCCGCG